CACAACCAGACCATCTCACCCCCACAACCAGACCACCTCACCCCCACAACCAGACCACCTCACCCCCACAACCAAACCACCTCACTCACACAGCCATCTGGTCCTCGGGCACCCCCCCGATGAAGAGGTCGGTGTCCAGGTTGAGCCCGTCGGTGCCCGGGGGGCTCTCCCCGCTGACGTGGGGCTCCCCGTCCACGGCCAGCACGCCCGAGCGCCGGTTGCGATTCACCACCAGCTGGTGCCATTTGCCAGGCTCCACCCGCACCTTGCTGGTGATAACACCCGTGCCAGAGCCAGTGTTAAACCTGGGGAAGAAGAGAGACACCTGTGACTCTGCCGCCCTGCACTGGAAAAATCATTTCGGCTCAGATTTCTGGGGCCTTTCTCCCTGTTTTATTTTGTTGTGGTTTTTTTTTTTCCCCAGTACAAAACCAGCACCAAATAAAGACTCTGCTCAAAACCACCTCAACCTCCCACACCATTTAGGTTTTCAAAATTCAGACTGAAATAACTGAATTCCTTCTGTTGAAAAGTGCCAAAGGGAATGAGTCCCCTTGGAATTCCTATTATACGCTGGCCCAGGCTGCCCAGGGAAGCTGTGGCTGCCCCATCCCTGGCAGTGTTGAAGGGCAGGTTGGATGGGGCTTGGAGCAGCCTGGGCTGCTGGGAGGTGTCCCTGCCCATGCAGGGGGGTGGGAACAGATGATCTTTAAGGTCCCTTCCAACCCAAATTATTAGATTGGAAACAACATTCCTCCTCATCCATTTGGTGCTACTGTCTCACAGCCTGCAAATTCCAGCCCAGCCTCCTCCTGCTGCTCTGCCAAGACCATTTTTCTGCCTCTTCCCCCAGCCCGGGCAGGGCTGAGGGGATGGGCACCCACCTCAGCTCCACGAAGCCGCCCACCAGCGCCAGGGAGATGAAGTCCTTGCCGCGGTTCTGCCCGTTATAGAGCAGCAGCCCACTGAGCTCCAGGGCCCGGAACTCCATGGCGATGCGCACCGTGTGGTAGGCCTTCATCATCTTGAAGGCCAGGTAGGACTTGCCCCCGAAGCTGGGGATGAAGTACCTGATGGCTGCAAGAGCCAGGGAGAGAAAAGAAGAAGGGGTAAAGTAGAGGGACAGGAGGACAGAGAGGAGCTGAAGGTCTGGCATGAAGCTGTGAACGCTCTCCTCCCTGTACAAGCACAGAGAGCTCTGGGAAGCAGCAGGAAGGAGCTGGCTCCTGTAGACCAATGCTCCTGTGCAATTATCACCTGTCACCAGCTCCCAGTTGGCTACTCACACTGGTAGCAACTGCCTCCTCTGATGCTGACCTGCCCCCACAGCCTGCTCCCAGGCTTCAGAGCTCTGTGGTTTTCTTCCCCCAGTCATTAGCTCAGTGGTGTCCCCATCAGCTCCTGCCCAGCTATCAATCACTGTGCCCTCAGCTGAGTTCTGCTGCACACACAACCCCTCCTAACTCGACTTCCCTGCTCCTTAGGTAATTTTTATCTGTCCTCCCAGAATCCCACGTGACAGATTTACATTCATCACCCCCGGCTTTTGTTTATTGCAACTGAGACTTTTCAAGGGATCTGAAAGGCCAAGAGCTGTTAAAACAAACAGGGCTGGACACCCACTTCCAGCAGCAGCTTTGAGCACTCCAGCTCCAGCGACCAGAGCTCTTCAGGAATAAGCATTCCCAACCACCTGGAGCCCCTGGTGTGACACCAAACGACCAGTGGCAGCTCCCAGTAACTCAGAGCAGCTCTGGCTGAGCGTGCTGCCAGCCTGCAGCTCTTTGATAAGCAGCTCTGAGCCTGAATTATCAGCACTCATCTCCTGGTGTTCCAGAGGACAGTCAGTACCTGTCTCCGTTACACTAACTAGCAGTCACGAGCAGAGATCAAGAAGAAGAAGCTCACAATCCCCAACACTTTGGGGCTCTGATCTGTCAGAAGTGGAGCCAGGGAGAAATTGCTCCGGGCACCTCTGACACCTCAGCCTTGCTGTGCTCGCCTCTTACAACGCACAGTGCACGTACAACCTGGTGTAGAGCTGGTTACGTTGCCCCCTGTGGTGCCTGGTGCCCGTGCACTGCTAATGGTGGGGATGCCTTTGCATGTCCCCCCACTTCTCCCCATCCCCAGGAGGTCTGTGAAGTTGGCAGGAGCAGGGGCAGAGCCACATACGTTTCTCGCAGACGGCTCCTCCTTTGCCGGCCGGGCAGCTGCAGGTGAACTCCTTCCCATCATCCTCACAGGTGCCCCCGTGCAAGCAGGGGTGGGAGTCACAGGGTCTGGGGGGCTTCTTGGTGGTGGTGGGGGGGG